CACATCAATGGCATACATGTGGGTTGTAGTATCCGCCTGTCTGCATTTTGTCGAGAGAAGAAGTAGATCTATGTGTTAAGTTCAGGAGTGAGAGTGAGGGGGATGTAATTAGTCGCTCTCTCTCTGTGTCTCTCTCGTGTTTTAAACCTGTTGACCGACTGCTTTGACTGGTAGCTGAACATTATATCTGATTAGATTGAATGTATTGTTATGCACAGAAGTATAGAAATCAAGGTCATAGTCTTTGGTCTCTCATTCTTGATATGATATCTCGTATAAATATATGAATTTACAATTTTACATGTAGCCTAGACTCTATGCATACATGATGTAGTAGCATGCAACATTGGTATGGACAATTACAAGTACCACATCATGGTGTGCATGTATGAGATAATTCATGGCATTCAATTGTATAAGATTGAATGCAAGCCTACAGACATACATGTACCAATGTGCTGATATAATGCACAGCTATATTGTATAGCAGCTTTCGCCAGGTGCATATTACATGTATATTGCAAAGCTTTTTTCTCAAAAATAAGGTATTTCATTTAAGATGTTGATCTCAATAAACACTGCATGAGTAAACAAGTACTTTGGTGACAATGCTGAATGCATTCATGAGTGTACCCCCCCCCCCCCCCCCCCCCCCCCCCCCGTACAATGTACATTATCTAATCATCCCTTTTTTCCCATTAAAATAATTGTTCATAAAAAGCATCCACTGCACTAATTACACTGCGCACCCCTTGAAATAATTACAATGTGATTTAAAAGGACACATATCCCCTTTAAATCCGAGTTGCCTAAAATTTCACTTTTCAGTTTTTTTTTTTACCACTACTAAATTTCGTTTTATGGCTACCGGTAAATGATAAGTAATCAAAAAAATTATAGTCCGAAAAATCTGATGTTGCATAGCGAAGCGCACATTTGAGCATGGTTTCTAACAAAACTTGATACAGAGTTGGGGTCCTGTTCGAGTCTGTATGCTGTACGCAAAAACAATATAATTGGGCGAGGCTTATTAATGTGAGCATGCATTGTTATGAACTTTCCTGACAAGTGACGTCTTCAAAACTGGTTTCTTTATACACTGTTCATGTTTATACAATGATGCATTTTGTGCCCTTTACCGCTTTATGACGATTCTTTGTACAACTTTTGTATAAACTTGTGCCAGTCTGAACATGCCGGTCTACCTATTGTTGATGACTTAGACATCTTGACTAAATAGAAGGTCAAGGTCTTGTCTGTTTGCTTTGTCACATCAGTGCAGGAATTTTACCATGTTTGTAAAATAGGCCCACATCTTTTCATTGTATTATAATGATACTCGTCCGGGAATCATTTGACAGCATAGAAATCAAGTAACATAAATGAATATGAAGTTGAACATGGACCTAGTTGCTAGAAAGTTCTACCGTTTGTGTGTCATTCAACTACATGTACACCCACACACACATGTACAATACTATGATCTTTTACTATAAATAAAATACTATTATTTCACTAAAAGATGTGTGTAGTTGAGCATTTGTGTCCTTGTCATTGAAAACATTGTTTAAAGACTCCAACCTGTTGGATAGGATTTTACAGTGGTTTATAAAGCACACGTTTCCGTTGATCCCAACCCATTTATCCCAGACTGTAATATTGAATGGGCCCCTTGCATGAAGCGACATGTACCTGTACATGAAATGTCATGTGCAGTCCTGTGTGATTAACAGTTGTATCGGTGCTTTCTATCGTACACAATGCAATGATCATTTGCTGGACTGACTTGTGTCTTTTTGAAAGATCTCAACCACTTTCATATGCCCAAATTAGGTTGGAAATATAAAGAAAATTAACAATATTCAATATTTACAAAGAAGTGAGTGAGTTATTCATAAAAATTACATAAAATGTGTGCACTGAATTATAGCTGTAATCAATCGTACACATATTTATTTTGTGTAGAATCCAGGTTATTCTTTCTTTTCTTTTTTTAATAAATGATAATCGTGTATCACCTTTAAAAATTGACACACAGTGCATCCCAACTCCCAAGTGACTTTTAATTATCTGGTATGACTTTTATGGCAACAACAGAGAATGAATTGCATGTGTGTGAATTGATGAATGGCACAGGAGTAATCACAATTAAGAGTGTAGCAAGCTGTTCCATGGGCCACTCATAGTGTATTCCTGGGTATTCTCTCCCTTTTGGATGTGATTTATAGACCGTTGTGATATACAGCAGGTTATTGCATACACAACATGCACCTATTAGACTGTCCAGCCTTCAACCTCACACTAGCAAGCTACATGTACATCTACATGTACCTGTGACCTGTGTAGAAACATGTACAGTGTACATGCGCATGTAAAAAAGATGACGAGTCGGTTCTGGTCAAATGCTGGATGATTGTCACAGTAATAAGAATGTATTTGAAGGAACATGTTTTATTATTAAGGGTATCCATTATTAGTGTAATGTGATATGGTTTCTAAATATGTTCAGATGAATTTCTGTTATATGAAGCATACAAATTGTACCAATTGTCTCTATACATTTGCTGTAAATACATGTACATATAACATTAATGTTAATTAATGTACTGTAGTATAGAGCAGGGTGGTTTCCATGTACAAGAGGTTTCAAACATGTATCACACAACAGGTGTGAATTTTCATTGATTAAAAATCAGCAACAGGTTAGCACTACCGGTATTCTTTCTCAATGTGTTTGAAAATGGTTCAGATTACATTAGAGTGCATGTAATAACGTTAGAGCCCATAATATGCTCTAACATGCGTGTACATCAGATCATACTCCCTCCACATTTCTATTCACATGCTTTAATTTTTGTTCATAACAACCCGGATACGTGTACAGTTAGCACCTGAATTATTCAGACTCCTTGTAAATTTATTAATAGGTTTTATGTATTTTGTAAATTAGTAATGAAATGTGGACTGGTTGAATTAGGACCTCTGTTGAATTGACTTAATTGTAAGCTTTAAAGGTAATACAAAGTTTTGGGAAATTTCGAAAATTGGGTGGATAGTGATTCTTTACAATTTTGATATATTTGGATGTGCCCCTGTGGATGTATTATAAACACTAGAAACTTTAGTCTCTAAAACACTTCTGCTTTTGAGAAAAATTGAATATAAAAATTTACCAGTGCTCCCAGTAAATTTTTCATAAAATTTCAAATAGCGCCTTCGGCCGTACAATGGTAGCTGCGACCATGAAAATCTCAGAATACGTAGTTGTGATGTAAAATTTACAAACGTGAATAGCTAAACGGTCGATTTAGTGAAGAAGCATTGTTTTATAGCTTAATACATATCTTGACCGTGAGAGTGAGCTATACAACTTAAAGTTTATTATTTACAATTTCATAACTTTAGAATCGATTTCAACTGTGACAACGCTCACTGAATAGAGTAGGATCGCATATGCTTCCAATATGTTCATTTGAATCAAATTCATGACCCCATACCAAAACTTTGTATTAATTACCTTTAATCATTCCCTTGAAACATAAATCTGGACAAATCGATATTTTCACATGCATAAAAGAAAATGTCAAAACTTGCTAAGTTGCCAAGGGTATGAATAATAAGTTGTTAACTGGATGCATAAACAGCAACCTCAAGTACGTTTTTAAGAATATCATGAACGATCACCAAAAATAAATGTAAGGTATAATTATGTAGAATTGTACATAAAGAAAACATGAAATATACATAAACAAAGAAAAGTTAAATAGAATTAAGTTATATAAAATTATATGAAAATTATACAAATGAAATAATATTCATTGTAACAAACCTGAAATCGGTTTGAAATCGATTACTCCCGATAAATGCACTCTCAAACTCTTTATTTTAAAAAATGCCTTTCAAAGTTGCGCTTTGATTGCATGAAACCAGTGATATACTGCTTTTGGTATTTTAATTATGATTAACTGTATTGCATTGTGGGGGGGGGGGGGGGGCTAACATGTAGGAGTAATGAATGTTTCATGCATAACATGAGGATGAGTGTTGCTCCTGGCAATAATGACATCTAGTCCGTGTTTACTCAATTTCCCAGTGACTGTTGTAGGCTGTTAAAATGTTCACCCGTGATACGAAAATACAATTGCAGAGTGTTATGAAAATGGAAAAATTATTTTTGTGAATTTCGCTAATAACTAAATGATCCCAACTTTAACGATGTCCATATCAAGATATTTCCATCAAGTACTATCGCATATCGAAATCATTTTACGTAAGCCATGTCGCAATGGTGTCTATATAGTACACTATAGCATGGGCCATCACTGGCTCATGCGGCACAGTTTGAAACTACGCTCATCATAATGGGGCACGTTGGTAGATTATTTTCATTCTTTTCTGATACAAGTAATGCTTGTATGATGATGGTCATGACACTAAGCAATGAGTTCATGATCCACAGAAATAGAATGATCATTACTGAGAGTATATAATTGGTAATGGTCGTGGCTTTATGCCAATGTAATAACTAAAAAATTTGTCCTTAAAACTCTTGTTCCGCTCTAATATTGGATTATACAGTATTTATCTGCAATGCTAATGGAAAGCGGTTGATTTATTGTCCATGTATACCAGTGTCAAGTTCCAATGTATGTGAATAATATGCTGATCTCTGGGCCCCATTGCATAGCATTTATATGTACCATTGATGGTGAACATCCATTGAAACCTTGATTTGATTGGCTGTCAAGTGATGTTGCCATGGCAGCTATAAACAGGGATGCCAACTTTCAGGCAAAAGCCTGAATTCAGGCCCTGGCGAGTTATTATTTAGGCTTTTTTGTGTACAAAATAGCTCATTTTAGGTGATTATCAGGCTCTCTGATCAATTCTAACTGGCATCCCTGTATATATTATAGATGGCAAATTACAAATATTTTCTGTAGTGAAGTGTAGTTATACCTGATATTAAAACAATTGCATCTTTTTTTCCTCTTCTGCAGAAATGGTCAACCATATGAAGGATGTAGCCAGGGTAAACGAAGAATTGTCGGTGGAGGAGAGGAATCTCTTGTCGGTAGCTTACAAGAATGTAATCGGAGCAAGGCGTGCTTCGTGGCGCATTGTCAGTAGTATTGAGCAGAAAGACAAAACCAGGGAAGACGACTCTCAAAAGATAGAGCAGGTCAAAGGTTGCAGAGTTGAGGTTAGTATTGCTCATGATTTTAGGGAAGCCTTAAAGGAGCTACACAAAGAAAATTCACTAACAACTCGTAATTGGAACAAATTACGTATGGATGGAAAGATTTTCTCTTGAAAAACACAAACAATTTGCTGAGAAATCATATAGATATCATGGAAAGGCGTAAAATGCAATTTTTCAAGACCCCCCTGAACTTAAGTCAAACACACAAGTCTAGCGAGCTCTAAATAGTTACGTCAAACACTGGACGAACAGCTCAGTGCCGTGTAGCAGTATGCAGCTAGCCAGCCGTGTCCCGTATGTGACGTCACAATTATTGACGCTCTACAATGGACCGCTGAAGGCAGAAAATCTGGATCTCAAAATAACAATTTTGAGAGTTGATTACTGCGGGCCCCAAACATATTTTGAAGAGAAGAGTTGTTGTATTTGATCGGCAAGGCTTCCTCTTCGCAATGATATGAGTTTTGCATCAATTCAAAACACTTTTGATTCTTCGTGTGGCTACTTTAAAGATAAAGTTTGAGTTCTGTTCATGTGATTGCATTGGGAAAGAAACGGTTTGAAATCGATCAGAAAAGTTTGATCATCTAGCATAGAAGTATTGGTGTGTCATGCAAGGTTCTATAATTATCAAAATGATGAGAAATTTGGCCCAGTCTTGGTAAAGTTACAAGCACTTTATACAGAAAGATGTACATGTATATGGGACTACATGAACATGTATACAAAATCCGTCCCGATTTTGTTGATGTTTCATTCCATATTTAGAATATTCAGGCATTTGAAGAGCAATGCTTTTCAGGGAAGATGTTTTATCTGATGTTCTTCCACACCTGCATAATGACAATGATTACGCTCACAAATTATTTTTCACCTCTTCCCAGAACTCAATCTTCTCTTTAAATTGCACTTTACATTTTGAGAATGTTGGTGGGCGTGCAAATCACAGGCCTTAAATTTCAATATTTTTAGGGCAAGGCCATTTTTCTGTAGGGCACATTCCTATATTACAGCACAAATAGGAAGAATTGGAAAGGGCACAACAAATCTCCAAGGCCAATTAGAGGGGCATTGAGGCCAATCAAAGGGGCATCCAAGGCCATGGCCTTGGTGGCCTTGGATTAATTTAAGCCCTGAAATCAATAGTTGAGGATGAAAGTTAAGTTCTTCAGTTCTTGCCATATGAAATTGTTCTATAGAAAATGTGTCTAATGTCTAAAAATAGTTCTTGAAACAAATGAGATGGATAGATAGATAAATGGTATTTTATTGCATCTTTCATGAATGGCAGTTTCACAACTGAATTGCACATGAGTTACACGAATTGGATATATACATTGTAAAAAACTTACATAACATTTAGTTAAAAATTATTAAAACGTGACACGTTACTACTGCCTAAATACCATAAACAATTAAAAACACTTAATGAACATAATTTCTACCAAAGAAAAAAGAAAAAAGGTATAAACATAATTACATGCCAACATAATATGGACTAAGGCAAATCATACAACAGTTCGTCATGTTACAATATTGCAGTAGTGGGTATGGTGGTAAAATAATCAATGATAGCGGCAAAAGCAGGTGTATGAACATTTAGTAATATTTGAAATAATTATTCAAATTAAAAGTAAAAAGCAATTCAATATCATTAAAACATACCGGTACGATATCATTTGGACCAGCGAATTCTGGGCAAATTGCTGAAATTTCCCTTTATTGAAAAAGCATCTACACTGAGATTACATGTTCAATTGATGACTTTCTTTAACTAATGCTCATTCTTATAACTTTGTTTATTATATGTGAACCATTCTTAATTGGTTTATAATATAATATCAGGAAAAAACATCCTTGCAAGGTACCAGGAAAATGAAAAATGATTTAGTGTTACACATTTCTTTGCTCAGTTATTATCTTTCTTTTTCTGTCTATTTACACCAACAACCCTGTATTCTCGATTTAAGAGTTTATTTAACCCTCAAAATTGTATAAAGACTGGTTTTACCATCTGGCACTTTTTATGGTTGTTTTCGATTATTAATTAAATTTGTTCTTAATTTTTGGTATGAAAATTTCATAATGTGTTGACATAATATTATTCAACATTTATTATTATTCTAAAAATTTTAATTCTTTTTATTTCCTCAGATTGAGCAAGAACTAACGCAAATCTGTGATGACATTCTTGACCTTCTAGAAAAGTCCCTGATCCCTAACGCCAAATCGTCAGAGTCAAAAGTGTTCTACCATAAAATGTAAGTCATCTTATCTTATATAATTTAGTATAGTTGTACTGTAGTTTCACACTTATTCCATAATGTCCTTCCACTCAGGTTCCTTCTCTTCTGACACTCCCATCTTCTTGCTGGCAGCCCCACCCAAGTTACTACCCAACCCAATCCCCATCATTCACCCCTCCCCCTTCCCACCCTCTACTTGCTGCTCTCTCTCTCTCTCTCTCTCTCTCTCTCTCCCCTTCGCTGCCTGTCCTCCCATTCACTCTTTGATATCCCTCCCCTTCCCTGCCAGACCCCTATTCACTCGCTGCTTTCTCTTCTCGTCCCTCCCTCCCCCCTTCCTATTCACTCTATGATATCCCTCCCCTCCCCTTCGCTGTCAGGCCTCCTATTTACTCATTGACATCTCTTCCATCTCCCCTCCCTGCCTGTCCTCCCATTCGCTCTTTGATATCTGTCCCCTCCCCTTCCCTGTCGGGCCTCCTGTTCACTCGCTGATATCTCTTCCCTCTCCCTCCCCTCTCTCTGCCACCCCATCCGTTCACTTGCTACTTTCTTTTCCCTCCCCTCCCTGCTAGCCTATCCATGCACTCACTCCTTGCTCTCATTCACTCCCCTCCCCTCCCCCCCCCCCCCCCCCTTCTCCTCCCTGCCAGCTACCCTATTCACTTGCTGCTATCTGTACCCTCCCCTCCTGCCACCCGTCCCATTCACTCACTGCTATTTCTCCCCTCCCCCTCCCTCCTCCCTGCCAGCTACCCTATTCACTTGCTGCTATCTGTACCCTCCCCTCCTGCCACCCGTCCCATTCACTCACTGCTATTTCTCTCCTCCCCCACCCTCCTCCTCCTCCCTACCAGCTACCCTATTCACTTGCTGCTATCTGTACCCTCCCCTCCTGCCAGCCGTCCCATTCACTCACTCCTATTTCTCTCCTCCCCCACCCTCCTCCTCCTCCCTACCAGCTACCCTATTCACTTGCTGCTATCTGTACCCTCCCCTCCTGCCAGCCCTCCCATTCACTTTTCTCTACCTTTCTTCTTTCATCCTTGCTTGCCCAGTGACTTGAATACAGGTTTTCCATTGGCTTCATTCTTGAACCCATCTAGTAATATGTTTTAAACTTTTAATGCATAGATATACAGATTTACTGCATAGGAATTTTAATTTGAAAGTGGAATATATTGCAAAAATGATCAGAAACAAATTGTATAGAGTCAAACAAACAACAAACAGAACAGAACAAACATTAATAATCATAATTTGTTTTCTTCTAAAGTCAGCCTATTTATTACATACTTGATGTTAAGTATTTGTGTAGATGAGTACCACATGTACACATCTAAATGAATTCTCTCAATGCACTTTATAATCAACAGGAAGGGAGACTACCACCGCTACCTGGCCGAGTTCTCGCTCGATTCTAAACGCAAGTCGGCGTCCGATCAGAGTCTAGCAGCGTACAAAACGGCCGTAGAGATTGCAGGAATTGAGTTAACACCCACACACCCCATTAGGTATGTCTGTAATGATAATAATAATAATGATGATGAGTAAACTTTGGTTTTATATCACATAATAGTTGCAACTTAATTCTATTTGTGCTCTACATTATGGAATTGGTAAACATACACATATAAAGAGAAGTATAACACTACAACAAGTAAACATAGGTCGTCAGGGCTTTCTCAAGGCAAATTATTTCTGATGGGATTTGTTATTATATTTATTCGGCAAAGACAAAGAAAATCAGTAAATACAAAACAAGAGTACATTTGGAAAAGAGTCGCATGGATGCTGGGAAAATAACTATAACTCAAAGGTCTTCTTTCTTTTTGCGTCTGGTCTGAGGGTTGTTTACAGCCTGTGGATGCTATGCGTAACAAATGTAACTATGCTGGTACATTTTGTGCTCCATGTTGATGTTTTTGTTTCATCATCCAGGATGCAACTTTTTCCTCAAGTAGGTGGACTAGGGCATGTACTTATACTAAAAAAGTACCTAAAATTGTTCCTTTTATGCAGGAAAAAAAATGCGGGGGGGGGGGGGGGCTACTTTTCAAGCTTGGTTCCATGAAAATAACACTTTTTAATTTGTTTTACATTGAATTTGATGCATATTTTGGGGGGCTTTTTTTAATGACTTTCGGGGGCTCTTTTTGGCATTTCGGGACCAATTTGCCCTGAGCCCCTGTGTATTTTTCCCCTGTTTTTATGCAAGTTCATTTTATATTTTACTGTTTATCAATGTTTCTTCTCCCTCTCTCTCTCTGTGCCCCTCCCTCTTTCTCCGGCACTCTGTACTCCCTGTCCTTCCACAGGTTGGGTCTGGCACTTAACTTTAGTGTGTTCTACTATGAGATCCTGAATTCCCCGGACCGTGCCTGCCGCCTGGCCAAGACTGCGTTCGACGACGCCATCGCAGAGCTGGACAACCTCAACGAGGAAAGCTACAAGGATTCCACTCTCATCATGCAGCTCCTGAGGGACAACCTAACGCTCTGGACCTCCGATATCAGTAAGTTCATTTAAAGCCCATCTGTACTAGTTTGGGGGGGGGATTAGACCTCCCTGCAAGGTCACTGACGGGTGGTTATCTCATCAAATCAGCTCTCAATAAACATAAGAAAAAGAGGATCATGGGGGACCAACAGGCACCGATTAGGCATTGTTTGCTATATAGAAGGTGTAGGTAGCTATAAGTAGGACAGTGGGCCTTTAAACACCTCAGAGCCTTGTTGAGATAGGACTCTGTGTACCTCTGATATCAGTTAGTTCTTTTTCTTCTTCCTCTTCTTGAAGATAATCTGCCTCCTTCAATACTGAAGATTCTTGCAGGTGCCGTATGAACTCGGCCTGGTTGGGGTGTGCAGGTTGACCACTACACCGGGGTTTCCCCCTACTCTTATATGAAGAGTTCAGTGGGTTCTTAACGTGCAAGGGTGGTGACTCTCCTGCTGCACATGGAGCCTCCATTTAACGTCTTATCCGAGGAATGGAGTGTTTTCCATTTAACATAGGGGTCGGGTTAGGGTTGTAATTGGGTGTTGGGTTAGGTTTGAGGTTAGGGACAGGTAAAGAGTTTGGTCCAGGGTTGAAAATAAAGATTTGGGTAGTGAAGTGAAGTGAAGGGGTGTCCTAGAAGTGTCTTGACTTGAAATTCAAAGGTCGTGGTGTGATCCCCGACACTGCACGTACGTCTTTCGGCAAGGCATTAATTTATATTTGCCACACTCATCCCAGGTGAGGTAAATGGGTACCTGGCATGAATTAAGTCCTTGAAATGCTGGAGCGCTGTAATGGCAGCTAGGCTAAAGCCGGGGTAATAATTAGTTTGCCTCACAATAAAATTTCTAGATAGACGGCGCTATAGAAATGCCTATTATTATTAAGGAGCAAGTGTCGTAAGAACCGCAGAGATGAACCATTGTCCTTTGTTTTTTCTTTGATGATTACAGAGAACGAGACAACCGAGAAGCCCGACATAGAGGACCTTGAAGAGACGCCCCAGACGGAGGCTTCTTAATCCAAGGTCAAAGGTTACTTGGGCTCATCTCCAAACACACAGAAAGAAGCAATGTTATCTACAGTGCAGTTGTGTGTTTCTTGTTTCACTTTACCATACTAATCAACTTATTTTACCTCCTTTCTATGTAAACAGCACACATTTGATTTTGAATCCTCACTAACTTTGGAGAGAAAATACTGGGTAAAAGGATATCTGTCAGCAAAAAAAATATATATATATAGAAATGCACTTGTTTAGGATTTACACACGAAACATTGAAATAATTTATTAAGTGTTGTGTGGATTATTAGTTGTAGGAACTACACACATTAATGAGTTTTCAGAACAGCACATATTTATAACGAGGAAGGAAAAAATAAACATCTGTGCACTGTAGTCATCTAATGGTTAAATAGAAGTCTATGATTGTGAAATATATACACTTGAAAACGTAATGTATACATATATTGTGTAAGATATTGTAATTTTTGAGCTTCGTATAAACACGTTAGGCAGAGCAAAACAAAATTTGAAAAAAAATACCAAAAAAAGGAGAAAAAAATATGAATGTGTATATATTTAGTCTCTCTTATTAATCAACTGTTTCAAAACTACGTTCCGTTTTTGATGCTTGCGATAACACTAGTTTTTATTGGCTGGTTTAGATATGCCAATGCTAAAGTGACATTCTCTCTTTTTCTTTTTTAAAAATCTTGTGGCACTGTGTGATGTATGATGATGTAGCTTGACTCTGTACTTCTGCTTTAAATATTTTCTAGTTGTTGGATTTTTGAAAGTGCCAGTGTGGAGTGAGGGGGCTGCAATCAACAACCCTCCACACTAGGAGGGGGAGAAGAAAAAAATGAAGGAGGGGGAAAACAGTTTTTGAAGAAAAGAAAAAATGCTCTGATGCACAATTCCAGTGAGAAGTGATAACTTACGAAAAAGCTTTACTTGATGATTCCGAAAAGATGCTTTATTTCCTTCCCTAGCTTTTCTCAGCTCTTTCCCCCCATCCACCCTCCTATTTGTTTTTATACAGTACAAAAGAAAAAAATGGTTCTGTGAATATTATGAGGATTTTTAATGATTTTGGTTGATATTTTTAGTTTTCTTTATTTTTTTTTCCTGTGAAGTCTATGCGATCTATCGTTTTGTTTTTTTCTGTCACTTTCTCTCGTACATGGTACCCGGTGTGTGTTTAATTCGTCGGTTGAAGAAAAAAAAGGGGTGCATTTACATGGTATGGAGGCTCCACAGGTCGAAGGTCAGGATGTCTCTTTGATAGTGTTAAGTATGATGAGAGATGATGTGTGGAAATGATCTGTGGAATGATTGAAGATAGTATTTATGGAGTGCAGACGCCATTCCCCATCCCTGGACGTCGTCGTTTTATGATGGAAGCGGTATGTACTAGAAAATGACCTGGGGCAACTTGGCAACACGGAAGACCCGCATGTTCCTTCGGCTCGGCGTTTGAATGGTATTCGGTCAGCTTCTTCCCTGCATTTCTGCATTGATTTGCAAGACTAGGATATGACCTACAGGAAGCACATGTAAAGGGTCAGTCAATCATAGAACTGGAATGATAAGACCGAAGTCGGTGTGGGGATATTTTTCTTTTGTTTACTTGTACAAGTTGAATAGTTTTTAACAGCAGTTGTTGTGTTTGGGTAGTTGAGAAAATTAACCTGGAGTTGCTAGTTGAATTGCGTAAAATAAGGTTTTAGTTGTGGCATTCCTCAAAAACTCACGCCTGCGTTGCTTTCTTTCAGTCCAAAATCTGTTTCTGAAATGTCCATCTCTCAGTCGTTCCAGGGGATGTTTTCTTCTTGACCCAAATGTGGGAGAGTGACTGAACGAAGGAATGAATGAATGAATGAATGAATGCAAAGAAAGACCTGTGAAAGAAATCCCGTAACAATCGGAGCACCGAGTAACCAACACTCGTTTCTAAGGCAAATATTGTGCATTTTATTTGTGAATTGTAACATCAACTGGTCTAGAACAATATGCCTGACATTTGATGGGGAATGACTTGTTCATGGTGAAAAATACAGGACTGACATTCATTATTTTTCTTTTCTTGTTTTTCTTTGTGATGGCTTCATTGTAGGAAATTTACCAAGCTCAAGTGTACTGGAGTAATGTTCAAAAATTAAAATGCCAAAAAAAAACAAAAAAAATGCTGTACACCATGTACCTAGTGTGTTTTAGGGGAAAAATTAGATGTGCTAGTTTTGACTTGCGTGAATGTAATGGTTGCTGTTTACAATTGTACTGATGGTGTTTAAACTTGTTGATATATTTTCTTCTCTCTATGATCTATGAAAGTTTTGTGTTCTTTATATCTGCAACTTGGATCTTGTTGATATTTAAGATGTTTAGATTTGCAAACATGGAATGATAACTCGTGGAAACAAATTTTTCGTCAAGATTTCACAGATTCCCTTATGTAAAGTTGGGCTCTGTTGGCACACGTCTTGAATTCCCTGCAGATATTTTCTACTAACTGCCATGAAATATACTGGCATATTGACTGGACTTTGGAAATGAATGCTAGTCGCTCCTTTGCCAACTTGTGGGAATGAGCTTGATTCATTACCGCAGATGAGATATGTACTTAGGGTGGGTTTCATACTTCCCTCCCTCTTTCCTTTCATAGGGCAAGAGCAATTTCTTTGAAACATGTTAGGGGTATTCCAAGCAGACCCGAAAGGCAAAATGACCAACGGAGTTGCTAATCGACTCTCTTCAACTTTTGTGCTAGAGATGGCCAGACTTTGAAAGCTTATCCAAAAAAGATCATAATTTGTGTAAGGCTCCCAATAACTTAGGGAGGGGGTCAAGAGAGAAAGCATTCATTTCCACCATCATAAAATATTCAATACTAACTTGATTCATATCGGATGTTTAAAGAATGAAAAGTTTCTTCAGTGTGTTTTCGAACATTGTGCGACAAATGCAACCATCTTTGTCTTTAAAACGTATTTCATAGCATAAAATATGAATTCATGATGTTATAAAAACCTGGAGGAAAGGAAACTAATACACCCATTTGCTCTCCACTTTAATAATAATATGTATTCCAGTACAGGCTAACATGGCTGTAATGTTATCTATTCCAACTTTTCCTTTCTGTTCTTCAAAACCTGATCACTGTCAAATATATATATATTTGAAGGTAGACCAGTATTATTATATAGTTCTATGTATTTCACACTGGAAATGGAGGCTATGTGGAGTTTATGTATGTCCTTATTGTAGTGAATGTTATAGACTTATCCTTGTTTTGCACATTTAAGAATAAGATTGATTGATTGAGAAAAAAAACCAAACAAAATTATGTAATGCGTCTACACAATGTCTGCCTCAAGCTTACAGCGCCTGGTTGATGGTAAATTGCTACCACAATAAAATGCAGACTTTGATTCTCAATGTCTCCCCATAACTCGAGGTCGTCCAAGTGTTTCTTTGGTCTTGTGCGATGGTGTGAAGATGGTGGAGGGGGATGGTGAAAGCAAAACCTGAAATGTTTTCATACAGAAGAGAGAGAGAGAGAGAGAGAGAGAGAGGGGGGGGGGGTAGAGGAGTGTGAAATGCTGTATTGTAAAACCAGACCTTTGCTAATCTTCACGATGGCCCTTTTTGGGGCGAGCAACGTTCATGAAAGAATTGGTAAATAATTAGCGTTAGGGTTCAATTATATTTTAGCTTTGTCAAATCAGGACCTCTCACCAATTTTTTTGAAAGGTTTCTTGCATTCCAAAGGTCATGGTTTAGTTTACAGTATATTTATATGTCAAGTGGAAGTGCAGAGAGTGTGAGTAAAAGGGAGAGTGAGTGAAAGAGAAAGAGCGAGTGAAAAGTGGTCTTGTACATTTAAAAATGTTTTTTACTTTTAGTGAAGGTGATTTCTATCAAGTTTTCTTTCACTTTCTTTCTTTGCTGGTCCGAATAACCCACCTCCAGCTTTCATGACAGTTTCCTTCTAAATAGCGTATCATAATCGGTTCCATGACACATGCTCCGCCGACGATTGCTCCGCCGACATTTACTCCGCAAAACGCGACAATTGCTCCGCGACATTCGCTCCGCGACATTTGCTCCGACGTCAAATGCTCCGCCGACAGGTGCTCCGCCGACAGTTGCTCCGCCGACAGTTGCTCCGCCGACAATTGCTCCGCCGACAATTGCTCCGCCGACAGATGCTCCGCCGACAATTGCTCCTCCGACAATTGCTCCGACGACATTTGCTCCGCCGTCAATTGCTCCGCAAAACGCGACAATTGCTCCGCCGACATTTGCTCCGCCTGAAGCGACACTTGCTCCGCCGACATTTGCTCCGCCGACATTTGCTCCGCCGTCAATTGCTCCGCCGACAATTGCTCCGCCTGAAGCGACAATTGCTCCGGTGACATATGCTCCGCCGACAATTGCTCCGACGACATTTGCTCCGCCAACATTGCTCCGCCGACAATTGCTCCGTCGACAATTGCTCCGCCGACAATTGCTCCGCCTGAAGCGACAATTGCTCCGGTGACATTTGCTCCGCCGACAATTGCTCCGACGACATTTGCTCCGCATGAAGCGACACTTGCTCCGGTGACATTTGCTCCGACGACATTTGCTCCGCCCAAAAAGTGTCCCATTAAATACAAATGCTACTAGTACTACGACAAATGCTTCGCCGACAATATTTTTTTTTCACGGGTTGTTTTTGTTTGTTTCTTTTTTTCTTCATTTTTTGAATGCATTTCATGACATTATGTAAATGAAATGAAATGAATGAATGTTGATAATGTGGGAGGAAAAAGCAGTTGCCTAAAAGTCATTTCGAATATACTGAAATAACTTTCCATCTATCACTGTACGTCCCACATAATGTACACTAAACACTCATTACATGTCATGGGAAGTTTTTTTTTTAAAGTAGAGCAGCAAGCCACATTCCCCTATACGCGCATACCCTTTAGTTAATTTCAAACAGCTCATCAATATGTAAGACCTGAAATTACCTCAATGAAAGAAGACTAATAACATGAGAGGAAAGAAAAGAGCAAAAAAGACAACCGTTTTTTGCTATTCCCCATAATGTTTGATTTAAAAAAATAAAAAATAAAATTATAGCTCCTTACGCAAGTTCTCCGGCGAAAGATAATTACTCCGCTCAAAATCTGTTTCATGTATTACTCATTAGCTGATCCAAAGCTCAAGGCTATCTCTCTCTCTCTCTCTCTCCCATGCTCCTCCTTTTCCTGTTTACACCGTTTTCTTGTCTTCTTTGCTCTTTTCTTTCCTCTCATGCTATTAGTCTTCTTTCATTTCCATCACTTCTTCTCTGCTCCCCCTCTCGAGTTCTATTTCTCTCGTGAAATTGAAACGTAAAGTAATACAATCATGTAGTACATTCTTGTTTAGAATAATATTTTCAATAATATCCAGTCCATTTTCTAAAGGTTTCTTTCCTTTAGTTAAGTGTATGTAGCTTTAATATATATATATGTTAGTGTGCAAAACACTCCGTTTCATTCGAGTACTTTGTTTTCACTAAATAATTTAAGGGACTCACGAAGCCACCGGGAGAAGAGCAATTGGCTTAAAATGAAGAACTAACATCAAACTGCAACAAAATGATTTGTATAAATGTGAATAAGCAGAAAGGCTGCCATCTCATATTCCCGTCTGAATGGGTTCTCTTCCTTACGTATATAAGTGCCCTTATTTTCTAAACTTTTTTTTTAATATTTGTGTGTTTATTAAATTTTCAATCATATAAAAATTACATATTTACAAGTCATTGGTAATAATTAGACAAACAAAAAAACCAATATGTATAAGAACAACTAACAATAATGAAAGGACAAGAAAGTTATAAAAAAAAAACATTATAGTAAAAAAAAATACACTGTACACATATAAATCATAGTTTGAACTCCAGTGCATAAAGGGGAGTGAGGGGGCACAGGAATAAAAGTTAAATCAACATGAGTATCATAAGTCAAATCGCCATTTCTTAAAATGCGAAACAAGCTTGTTCCTTTTTTTCGCTGAGAAATATTCAATATCTTTTTGTTTCTTTATAAAACTCTTAAAAAGATCAACACTTGGTAAATCCCCCTTACTTATTTTCTAAACTTCCATGATGACCTATTACATTGTATAATGCTTTACCTAGTAAGATGCATTGATCGAGGTAATTTCAGGTATTACATATTGATGAGCTACTTGAAATTAACTAGGAGGTATGCGCGTATTGGGGAATGTGACTTGCTGCTCTACTTTTTTTAAAAGACTTCCCACGACATGTAATGAGTGTTTAGTATACATTATATGGGACGTACAGTGATAGATGGAAAGTTATTTCAGTATATTCGAAATGACTTTTAGGTAACTCCTTTTTCCTCCCACTTCATCAACATTCATTCATTTCATTTCATCTACATTATTTCAAGAAATGCATTCAGAAAATGAAGAAGAAAAAAAGAAACGAAAAAAATAGGTGTAAAGAAAATATTGTCGGCGAAGCATTTGTCGTAGTACTAGTAGCATTTGTAGTTTATGGGACACTTTTTGGGCGGAGCAAATGTCGTCGGAGCAAATGTCGGCGGAGCAATTGTCGCTTCAGGCGGAGCAATTGTCGGCGGAGCAATTGTCGGCGGAGCAAATGTCGGCGGAGCAATTGTCGCTTCAGGCGGAGCAAATGTCGGCGGAGCAATTGTCGCTTCAGGCGGAGCAATTGTCGGCGGAGCAGTTGTCGGCGGAGCAAATGTCGGCGGAGCAAGTGTCGCTTCAGGCGGAGCAAATGTCGGCGGAGCAATTGTCGCGTTTTGCGGAGCAATTGACGGCGGAGCAATTGTCGGCGGAGCAATTGTCGGAGGAGCAATTGTCGGCGGAGCATCTGTCGGCGGAGCAATTGTCGGCGGAGCAACTGTCGGCGGAGCAACTGTCGGCGGAGCAACTGTCGGCGGAGCATTTGACGTCGGAGCAAATGTCGCGGAGCAAATGTCGCGGAGCAATTGTCGCGTTTTGCGGAGTAAATGTCGGCGGAGCAATCGTCGGCGGAGCATGTGTCGGGTTACCTCATAATCACGACTTAACATCATTTGCAATTTATTAAAAGGCCTTGTCTTTCTTCCTCGTTGATATACTTGTGTCACACATACAACAGAACAAAATATTTTCTTGTGATTTTAAGCCTTTTCCCTCTCTTCTCCTTTTGTGTCTTCTCATATTCCTGTGTTCTTCCATTATCTTTCTCACCCTTCTCACCCTTCTCATTTCTCTTTCTCTCAACATTATTTCTCACTCTTTTGACCCCCCCCCCCCCCCTCAATCATTATATCACTTCCCATATTCAATTTGGTTAAATCAAACTATACACTAACAATGATAATCAAACACTGCTACACTTCAAATCATTCTTTTTTAGCATAAGGTTTATTTCATTTCATTTTTATAAGTATATCCAATTTAAATATATCACAAATTTACAATGAAAAAAAAAAGATAAAAAGAAAATAACACATTTACAAATAATCTTGTATTACGCAAGATTACGCAAGATATAATATGCCATTGCTTAAAACAGCAGAAGAGCAACTCTACAAGAACAGCCACTGTCGGAGCCTTGTAACCTGAATGACCCCAAATTACTGTTCTCCAACGAGTCTATAATCTACACTTAATTCAAATTTAAACCACCAGACTGATTCCAGACAGGCCAATTCTTGGACACTCTGTGAACCGTCACGCTTTGTTCGGTCTGGTGTTGCAGGGTATCGTACATACCACAGCCAAGAGGACAAAAGCATGTTTTCTGTGAAGGAATCGCTTGAACGAGCATCCCATTGGCGTGATGACACTGTCCTGCAATAATCGCTCCGTGTCAATTTCCTACACTATACTATACACTATTCTTAACTTCAATCCCGGACCCGACACTACACCTAACACCTAATGCTAACCCTAACCTAAAACCCTATCACAACCCTAACCTTACACCTTTGATGAAAGAAGTCTGGAGCGATTGTTGCAGGAGCGAATGTCGGGTCACCTTTTAAACTCAGTATGTGCTATATTATTTTTTTATGTCATTTCAATTCATAAAATGGCAACTTACCTATCTAACTTGTTGACTAAAACATCTTTATTTTCAACTCTGAAAATATACATTTGAGCTTTAAGTAGCTTTTTCTACAAGGCATTACTGGAGCTGGGATCTAGATGCATTACAGATGCATGAAAATCCATAAACATGTACATATTAACCAGCATAAAAATGTACCCAACACAACTGACATTTTAAGTATAACCTATCTGAATAAACTGAAAGGAGGTCTACTTTCTCTAATTATACCTACACAAGGTTAAAACTTACCCTAATAAAACTCAAGTAAGGTACTGTCTGTTTGGAGCCAGAAGGGCATTAACTCTGTGTAAATTAATATG